GACCTCTTGTGTGTGGTCGACCATTCGGTAGTTTATTCGTTTCACGAACAGTGTTGAAACTCACTGTTCGTGAAACTACATTAGGAAAGCTGGGTTTTCCATACTGCAAGCATACGAACGCCCTCATTCGTCTGAAGGACACATACAGTAATACACTTGGTTCTCACAGCTGAAACAGGGATATACACACATTCAATATGACTAGTCTTAAGTGGCTAGTTTTGCCACAGCATAGCTATCTGGGGTATCACAGCTCAAACAGGGCAAGCACCGAATGACCCGGCTTTCGTGTCTTTGCAGGGGAAAATCAAGCCTTTCAACATGGGGTCATAGTCTAAAGGCAGCAGGCGGGCAACCAGGCTTCTCCAATGCACAGTGGCGAGATTGGTCTCGTCACATCTCTCTCCTTTTCCAAACAGACTAACAGGGTATCTGACCTCCTGCCGGTCAGTGCCCTGGTTAGTCCAGCAACCCACCCATAAAACACAATTAGTAGTACAGCCCACCCACAATAAATGGTTACTACACCTGAGTACGGGGAAAAGTTGTCCATGTCCGGGTGCCTCACCATAGCTGTTTGGGGGACTGTTGCACTGATTTGGTGGGTTGCGAGGTGGGCAGAGACCAGCTGTACTTTGCGCTGATGCCAGCACTACCAAAGAAGTAGCCTGGTGGGAGCCTGATTGCTGGAGGGGGAGACCGACTGTCTCCCCTTTGGATACATAGCTGTGCTGCTGGAGAGGGAGACCGATCATCTCCCCTTTGGACAAGTCACCATGCTGCCGTGGGGGGAGACAGACAGCCCTGTTGCTGGAGGACAGGACCGACCGTCCCTACCCCTGTGGTTTGGGCACAGAGAATACAGTCCCATCTGCACCAGTGTGGGGAATACAGTCCCATCTGCACTTGGTGGGCTAGGCTGCCTCTGGGGAAAGGGGACGAGGTTCTCCCCTCCCAGTAGAAGACTCTGCCGCTGGGGAGCAGGACTGACTGTCCGTACTCCCTGTAGCTTGGGCGCAGAGACCATGGTCCCATCTGCGCCGGTGGGGAACTTAGTGTCTCCCCTTGGTGGGCTAAGCTGCTGCTGGGGAGAGGGGGTAACAAGCTCCTCTCCCTTATGCACTTTCAGCTGCTGGGGAAGGGAGACAGGGCTCTCCTCTCCCTGCAAGGGATACTGCCGCTGGGGAAGGGAGACGATGCTCTCCACTCCCTGCACTTCGCTCTGCCACTGGGGGAAGGAGACACTGCTCTCTATTCCCTGAAAATCAATCTGCCACTGGATATCTGGGCTGACCGCCCAGCATCCCTGTAGGGCCGGTGGAGAGACCTCGGTCCCATCTCCACCTGCCGCCTAGGGTTCCTCCCAGTAAATCTCTACAATATCTTCCCAGCTGAATGGGTCTGGATCTGGGTCTGTCACCTTGCTATCCTGCTGAGCCTTCCCAATGGAGTGGAAGAGATCTCGGTAGTCCTGGTCCAGTTCCCACTCCAGGGTTGCTAGGTGATCCAGGTCTTGCTCTACCTCATGAGGGTCATCCCAGATGCCGTTCCTTAATGCATCCCGGCTATCATGGTCCTCCTCCTCGTATAACATTGCTGGTTCCATTCTGTTGCTTTTAGGGTTGCTGTACTGGGACATGCGTTGCCCCCAACTTGTAAATCCACAGAATGGTGTCTCCTGCAGTTGTCCTTCTGGCTGTGGGAACGATTCCGCCGCTTGCCACCCACAGGCATAAAAGGGTTAAACCGCCGTTTAGAAGATCTTCCCCTTGCAGAGATACAGGCACAGCTACTGCAGAACACCAAACTCCCGAACTGCATACAAGGGAATGCTCCAAACTCCCGAACTGCATACAAAGTAGCACTCCAAACTCCCGAACTGGAACCTCACGAAAAGCTGCTAGCAGACGAACAGGAAAAGCATCCAAGCAGCTTACACTCCTGGCAATCCGTCTCTAACAGCATACAGTAAATCCCCCCCAAAGACAAGACAGAGCTCCGTGTTGAGGGTCAAGCAGTGGTGCAGGTCTTTCACCTGGTGGACACTCTCCTAGGGGACCAAATGGGAGACTGTGACAAAGGACAGACATGAACCAATGACAGACACACAGAGGTAAAACATCCCCACAATGCATCCTAATTTCCCTCCCTCTTTCCTAGAGATAATTGTGAAGTAATCCAATTATCTCCCAGGACAGAGGCAAAACTCCATTAACCACATGGCAGTAAAAGACAATAAAACACATAAAAATGTATAAAGTTACAACTGTTGCACAAAACATATAAATTCTACCTATCCCCAGATAGCTTAGATCTGAGCGCACATTATTACCGATGGCGCTCAGATCACATACATACAGTTCAATCGACATGGAGCCAAAGTCTTTCCCATAGTCTTTTGTTACACGAATAGGCTCCATAGCATAGCTATCTGGGGTATTGCTGTTCATACGGTTAAACTACCGAATGAACAGGCATCCGGTTAAATGACCGAATGTAGAAGCAAGAAGGCTTTTTAACATGGGGCCATAGTCCAAGGGGCAACAGGCGAGCAACCAGGCTTCTCCAATGCTTCGTGGTGAGGTTGGTTTTGCCACACAAGGCTTAGGTAAAACTTTGACAGACAGAGGAGACCTGAATATGGTTAAATGTGTAATGAGGGGTTCTTGGTTCTCAGGAGTGCAGAAAGAGCGTCATAAAAGAAGGAATTGCATGGGCATAACAAGGCTGAGAGGAATAGTCAGCCGAATTATGACAGGGTTGTAGTTGACCCTTGTAAAGCTGGAAATGTTGTATATAATTGCCCAAATGTATGGCAGAAATTGTCATGTGGATTGCCCACAGAGGGCCGTATGTAACGTATGGAGTGAAGGATTAGTGAGGGCCGCATGTAGAGGTATTGCAGCGGAAGGCCAATATTACCAAATCTAAGTCTCGAGTTGCCGGGTGTATAATAGGATGCATGTAAAGTAATGATTATGGCATGAACAAATGTAGGTTAATTGTACTAAAGTTGTAGAAATGGATTGTGAATTGCGTATGGACAGTAGTGATGCTCTGGTATTTGATCTGGTTTTATTTATTTATTGTACATAAATGCAGCATAATAGGGCAATATGTAAACCCCGAGCGACAGGAAGACCGGAATTAGGTTGTAGCTGTAAGCCCACCTGGGACCGTATGAAGCTTATGTAAGTGAAGGCCTAGTGAGATCCAACTGTCAAGATATAGGAGTAGAAGGTCGAGATAGCTTATTGCAATTCATGAGCAGTGTGGTAGCCATTTAAGTGCAGTATGATATGATGTGGGTTGGTTAATGGTTGCTGAGCTGTGGAGCAGTTGCAATTTACACAGTGATGCAATATGGCAGACCTGCTCCATATCATAACATGTATACATAGGCGTGCGCACGGGGTGTGCCTGGGCACACCCTAATCCCCGTGGCACGCCTATGGTTTGAGTCCTGCAGGAATAGCGTTCCTGTACTATTTTTGAGCAGGAACGCTGTTCCTGCAGGCACTCAGTGCCCCCTGTCTCACCTCTTGCAAGAGGTGATGGATAACCCCACCCCCCCTCTCTGCAGCTCAGCCGCGGCGAGGGAGCTATGTGCTGTCTGCTCCCTCTCACCGTGCGCTGATGCCGGGAGCCGGAATATGACGTCATATTCCGGCTCCAAGCTACAGCAGACAGCCTGCGCGGCGAGAGGGAGCAGAGAGCAGACAGCACACAGCTCCCTCGCCGCGGCTGAGCTGCAGAGAGGCGCCCGCCCCACTGGACCCCAGGGACAAGTCCACGCCAGCACTCCAGGTAGGAGGCTGGGTGGACATTTTTTTTTAATTAAAATATAATAATTTGTTCTTGTGTGTGTGTCTGTCTGTGAGTGTGTCTGTGTGTGTGTGTGAATGTGTCTGTATATATATATATATATATATATATATATATATATATATATATACACATACATACACACACACAAAAAATGTCTTTCTTGGCACTTACCCTTTCATGTATATAGTACAATATTGCCTAGGTGCAATCCCATGTTGAGAAAATATATATTAGAAATGAAGAGATGCACTCTTAGGGCTTGAGCAATGAAAAATAGATAAGTTATTCCAGTAGGTATAACATCAAAGTTTGATGTTATACCTGCTGGAATAAATTATCTATTTTTCATTTCTCAAGCCCTAAGAGTGCATCTCTTCATTTCATATATATATATATATATATACACATACACACACACACACGCAGAGCCGGCGCTATCTGAGTGCCGGCTCTGCTCTAAGCCTCCATAGGCCGGCGGAGAGAACAAAGATCTACCTCACCGGCCCACAGCAGCATGGAGGGAGGCAGGAGAGGACCCAGGGAGCTCTAGACAGAAGCTCCGCCAGGTTCCTCTAGCGATATCTGAGCGTTGCTGCGGCAACGCTCAGATCTCGTGAGAGTTAACTCTAGCCCCGCAGGCTAGAGTTCACTCTCCCCTGGACCACCAGGGATGGCACATAGCAGCAAGGATTTACTAATCTGCCAAATCCCTCCAAACATACAGCACACACACATACAGCACCTACACACATAGTACACTAACCGCACCCTCACAAACACACACAGCACCTTTAAAAAAAAACACAACACCCTCACACACAGCACACTAACAGCACCCTCACAAACACACACACACACACAAACAGCACCCTCACAAATACACGACACTCACACAAACAGCACCCTCACAGGACAAACATACACACACAAACACCCTCACACACAAACAGCACAGTCACAAACACACACACACATCACACTAACAGCACCCTCACACACACACAGCACACTAACAGCACACACAGCAGTGTGTGTGTGTGTGTGTGTGTGTGTGTGTATATATATATATATATATATATATATATATACATATACATACACACACACACAAGCGGCGTGTGTTTGTGCTTTAGGGTGCACACCCTAATGCCATAGGCTGCGCACACCTATGCATGTATATTACCAACATGAACCGTGAGAGGCCCAAATGTTAGGACTGTTAATTAGAGATGATAATTATGAGACACTTGAGTAACATGGCAATGATCGTAGTAGGTTGCAGTGGCGGAACTATCAGGGTTGCCTGGTCGCAACTGCGACAGGGCCCGTCGACAGGGCCAGCTGAGTAATGCGGCTGTTAGGGCCACCAGATGTTATGTAATTCCAGCGCGACTGGGCCCCCTCTGATGTCAGAGGCTGGGAGGAAGTGACTGCCCCGGTATATGTCTGTTTGTGTATATGTCTGTCTGTGTGTCTGTATGTGAGTGTGTGTGTATGTCTGTGTGTGTGTATGTCTGTCTGTATGTGAGTGTGTGTATGTGAGTGTGTGTGTGTGTGTGTGTGTATGTCAATAAGTAGTGAAACTCGCCATATCCGAATGAGGGTCGAATACAGTAAGCAGAATTAGTGATGTCTCGAACATAACATTTTTCGGTTCGCGAACGGCGAACGCGAACTTCCGCAAATGTTCGCGAATCGGGCGAACCGCCATAGACTTCAATAGGCAGTCGAATTTTAAAACCCACAGGGACTCTTTCTGGCTACAATAGTGATGGAAAAGTTGTTTCAAGGGGACTAACACCTGGACTGTGGCATGCCGGAGGGGGATCCATGGCATTACATAGTTGATGCAGAGTCTGGTTTTAATCCATAAAGGGCATAAATCACCTAACATTCCTAAATTGTTTGGAATAGCGTGCTTTAAAACATCAGGTATGATGTTGTATCGATCAGGTAGTGTAAGGGTTACGCCCGCTTCACAGTGACAGACCAAACTCCCCGTTTA